TATATATATATATATATATATATAAAACCTATGAGAAAAGACTTGCATCAGATTTCATACATATAACACATAGCAAATTTCATGTTTTTCAATGTTAATTTTTTGCTCTAGTAACTATAAGTTTAAACTATGATAAAAATTTATCAGCTGGACGCATCTGTTTGACTTGACCACAAATTTGCCCCAAAGTTTAATCCAAAAAGTATTCATTATTGAAAAAGAACATGGATTATTTGATATGTTCTTAACTTCATAGAAATAAACAGGAAGCAAATATAAACATAATCCAACAACTGATATAAGCATCACAAAAAAATTAAACATTTGATGAAGATTATTAGATAAAAAAGCTTTATATTCTTATTCAAAAAAAAAGATGCTCTTCAAGAGATATTTTTCTAACATCATTAATTAGCCTGTGTTTTATTGTACTAGTAGCTGGGAAGAGCTGAGAATTGATGTAAATAATATAAAACATACAATGCAATTTAGTAAATTTAAGGTTTGTGAGAAATAAATAAAGTAAAATATAAAATAAATCTGAAAACTGTAGAAAATTGGTTATGGTTCTTCGTTTACTTTCACACAGTTACTTGAGCAGTTTCAGCATTAGCCATCATTAATTTTGAAGTGACAGATAAGAGGAAAGAAAGCTAGTCAACATTGCCAACTCATGGACTACTCTCATAAGAACAAAAAGGGAAAGTTGACTGTTACTCTTATAATGCACTCACGGTCCAAAATGTGGTACAAACAATTATATATATATATATATATTCAGATATATTATTTTTTTTATGGTAATGGACCATGAACCACAGAATCTGGCACACTAATCACCAGGCCACACACAGCCCATATATTTATGACAGTCCAAAAACAACAACATAAAAGTAATAGCAATACATTTACAACTAAAAAAGTAAAAACCAGAAATATTTCTTCCAGAAAGTTTAAAAATATAATTAAAATTAAAACTAACAATCAATTATGTCTTGTTTCAGCACCATAGTTAAATTCAAATACATTTGTCTATTTTCTCAATAACCCATTCACTGCCGAATTTTCCTATGGAAAGTTGTCTACAATGCCGGAATTTTCAGTGAAAAATGTCTAATTGAAACACGTTAT